CTAAACTTTGATGGGTGTAGCAGGGGAAATCCGGGACAATCGGGGATTGGGGGTGTTTTTAGGGATGAAAATGGGGTCATTTCTGCCATGTTCTCAGGCCCAATTGGAGTGGGTGACTCCTTTAGAGCTGAGATCTTTGCAGTTATGGAAGGAGTCTAGAAAACCAAGGAGTTGAACATCAGGAAACTCTTAATTGAAGGGGATTCAGAGGTGGTGATAGGGTGGCTGATTAAAAGATCACAATGGCTTATGGAAGTACAATAATGAGAGGAAATTCAAGTGGCTGGTGCGGGAAATGGAAGTTAAGATACGTTGGGTTAAAAGATTGGCTAACTCCCTAGCTGACGGTTTAGCTAAACAAGGGGCAGAAAGGGACTCACTGTTTTGGGCTAAGCTGTAACTATAGTGTGCTTTCTTTCTTTCCTTTTTTCCTTTTCTTGAGGTTCTTTGTTGCTCTTGGAAGATAAGCGTGTTTGTCTTCCTATTGTAAATATTTTATTGATGAGTTAATGAAAGTGTTATTGATAAAAAAAAAGAGACCTTTAGGACTTCGACACCAAACCCCTCTGTTCGGTTTTGGAGGCTCCAAGCAGCTTCTTTCAAGAAGCAACAACTCTGACAGACAGGTGTTGTCTTCATCCCTCAATCCCCTTTGAAACCCAAAATCCCAATTATGACCAAGAGGCAAAATAGGAGGTGCTAGAAAAATTGAGATGGTCTCATTTTTATACAAGGAGATGGAATACAGAGAAGGAAACAAGTATTTTAGAGGCTGGTCCCCCAACCAGATTTGCTTAGAAATCATAGGGCCAATATGAAAAATGATTAGTGCCTGCGTTTCAAATCATTTTAGGTTCAAATCATGAACTGCACGATTTGAACAATGGTGGTGGATTCATGAATCTGGTCTTCTCTTGATCCTTTGCTGCTCTAGTTTTTGTAGCCAGATTGTGAAATCAATGAAGGGGCAGATTTTGGTTTCACTTTCTGTTATTCCAACCCTTTGCCATCTAAATCTGGGCACACCTTATTTTTCGTATTTCCATATTTGAGCATTTTGCATATTCATCAAATCATCTGCTTAATATAAAATCAAGTTGTTGTCCGTGCAATGAATTTCAATGAAGAGCCAACATTTGGCATTTTCTGTTCTCAGATGGAGACTGGTCAGTCTACTGCTGTAGTGGGTTCTGATTCTAGTGACAGATCAAAGGACAAACTGGATCAGAAGGTTGGATGGATTTTTCCCCCTTTGAATATTTTATTCTGAGTGTGCTTGTGTGATAACTAATTTATTTGATTGTTGTCTAATAGACACTTCGCAGGCTTGCCCAAAATCGTGAAGCTGCAAGAAAAAGCAGATTAAGAAAGAAAGTACGTTTGTTTTTAATTATCTGGTCTCTAAGTCATGCTATCTTACTGGTGTTTTGACAATTGTTTTTGATCAATGGCAGTCAAATCTGTTAATTAATGTGTTCAAAAGAATGGTTTACAAAGCAGTATAGAGTAAGGCAGTAATTGTAGTCTAGCATCCACTACCTACCCCATGATTTTGTTCTAACTTAATTTGGTTTCCTCTGGGACCACTCCCTAAGTGATTCTAATTGGAACTAGTTTATTAATGTGTTTTGACAGCATTAGAGTTTAGTAGTTGATGTCACTACCAATATTAAATCATTCTAATTGGCACAGGTTGAAACACCATAAATTTTAGTTTCCTGCTACTTGCTAAGTTGATCAAGTTTTCTTGCAGAGTTATTTGTTTGGAATCATTTTTGTTTAACATTGTGAATGTGCATTTTGTGGAAATGGTTGCTAATTCATGGATTAAACTGTCCACCTGGAACCAGTGTACAATGAATATGGGGCAGGGATTTTACTTATTATATTAAATTGTGAACCTACCATTTGGCATTATCGAAACTGTCTATTTTTAATAAAATTTGGGTTTGCATAGGGTAATTTATTTATTTTTTGATTTGGAGTCGATTCTGGTCCTATGGGGGCATTGCTTGGTACGATGGTAAAACCTTGGGCTGACAAGGGCTGACAAGCTTGAGAATGCAGGTTTATGTCTAAGAACAGCCACTTTTTGGAGAAATTTCTGAAGGTTAGGTTTATTTCTGTTGACCTCTCCTAAGACCCCATATCGCTAGGATTGTCAGTGGGTAATGGTCCTTCCAGTCTAGCCTGTTTCCAGCATAGTTGTTAAGGTGCCTCAGCGATCCTAGGCAGTAGTGGGGTGCCTAGTCACCTAGGCATCGCCTAGGTGATAAGAATTTCATAAAATAAAAAACTATGTTTTTCCTAGTTTTTTGGTTTTACATACAATTCAACATGCATTATTAATTGGAAATATAGTAGTTCTTTCTATATAAGAAACATGTCGGAAATGTTGGTTGTCCAAATATAAGAAACATGTCGGAAATGTTGGAAATATCGTATGGAAATATTGTAAAAATTATAGACATGGCGGAAACATTGTAAAATATGCAAAATATAGAATGATGTTTTATGGAATGATAAAAGAAGCATAGGCACACCTTTCCAAATTATTGCCTTATTTCAAATAAATAAACAAAGCCAAGAAACTAAGGTTATAGACAAAAGAATATGTTCTAAAGTTGCCATGTAAACCTTAAGATTCAGAGCTTCATGATAGAATGAGTTAAATCAAAATTTAAACTCAAAATGGTAATCATGTAAGTTAATAACATCGTTACTCCACATATTTACAATATTGTCACAAACTTGTGTTAAAATACTATCTCTTGTACTCCACATAGTGCTGTTAGTGCTCACTTGGGAATATGTTGATTCCAGTAAAAATTTCATGTCGCTACCCATGGAATGGAAATGGAAATGAAAATGGAAATGGAAATATGTTGTGGAAACTATCTCTTGTACTCTAAGTGCTGGTAGTTCATTGGGGAATATGTCGATTCTAGTAAAATTTTGCATTGCTACCCATGGAAATGGAAATATGTAATGGAAATATTAGGAAAGTTGGGGACATTTTAAACCATGCTCTCAAAACATGGAAAATCAACAAATCTAGCTCTCAAAACATGGAAGATAATCCTATAATCCTACTATTAAGGCAGGGCTTGGACAAATGCCATCAAGACATTGCTGGAATACAGAAAGAAAACATTAAACAAGTTTTGGATATTGGTTCTGAAATCAATGCAGTCCTTGCTACTCCTTTCAAGATTATATTAATACAGTAATGAGTTGGCGAGCTTCTGAATGAGATATCAACTTTGGAAGCCAAGTCTCTTTCTTTTCCCCAACCTAATGTCTGAAGCTTGAGAATATCAATCCTGGGTGGTAAAGCAAAGCCATGCTCTTTGTTCTGATGGAATAGGCTAGAGTACATCATAAGAATGGTTTTCCTCTTACCTTTGAATGATCTATCTTTAGGCTTGGGTTGCCTAAGGACACACATCAAAGTTGAGTTTGATTGCTATCATAGAGAGGGAACTCTTGAATTACTTGCTTTTTCCTGGCTGAATATTTCATAATGGTGTACCTTGCCTTGATAACATTTCCTATTAAGTTGTCTCCGATGCATCTCTTGTCAAGATCTATCTAACAGGCGAACACTGATCACAGTTGGATCAATGATACTCTACTGGGGTTTTGACCAGTTGATGAGCTTGCTATAATGTGCAGTTGTCTGATTATAGTGTCCACTGATTTCTCCCAAGTCACAGTTGATGGGGCTAGAGAAGCTAGGGCTAGGACAAAATGACATGCATTGAAGTAGTGTGCATATAGCTGACCCCATATGTTTGGGACTGTGGTGGTGACCATATCAGTGATACTCATCTGGGGTTCTCTGTATTTTGGGAAGATTTTGGTATTTTACTCTCAAAACAGTTTTTGGCATTCCTCTATTTCCAAATGTATCAGGGAAATGTACATGGACATTTCCTCGTTTGGTTCAACAACTATATTGTGTAGGTGAATATCTGAATTTAAAGAGGCATCAGGGCTCTCATTTCTTGGAACCGTATAGTAGTGGTGAACTAGTGATTAAACAACTCATTATTTACTTCACATGTTATAATGTATATTAAGAGACATCTTCCAAATCAGTTGCTTGTGTTGGAAGAAACTCACAGATAATATTGTTGACCTTGATGCTGGTAGAAGGTGTGCCTAGGCGCACAAGAGTGCACCTTTTGAAAATTTGTGCATTTTTCAATTTTTTTCACTCGCTCACCAGAGCTCCGAAAACCCCATGTTTGCAAATATTGCTCATTCTTTCTTCCTAATAAAAGATATTTTAAAAGAATTAAAATTATAAATTATTTTTTATAGGGATTAAGAATTTAAGACCCTAATATGGACTTGCCTCCAGGGGCTTGTTACAAAAGTGGCTCGTAAGATCAGGAATGCATAATGTTTAACATCACATTAGCTATGTGAAGTAATGCAATTGGGGAAAAAAATTAAAGAGATTGAGAGTTTTACATGCTTCAATATGTTTTATATGTTTATATTTGTCTGTTGTTTAGATCAAAGAACTGGTTGCATCTGTAATTTGTGGTGGCTAGGCAGCCTCTAATGGCCTAGGCTCCTTTGTACTGGTTCTTATTTTAATAAATTACCTTACCTTTTCAAAAAAAAATGTTTTATATGTTTTGCTTGATTTTATTTTTAAAATTTCGTTTTAAATACATTTTACATGTTATGTTTATGTATTTTAATTTGAGATAATTGGTTTTTTTAGACCATTCATTTTAAAATTCATGCTTGTTTTAAATTTAAGTTTATGCATTTTAATTTGAGATAATATGTTTTAAAATCATTCCAAGGCAATGATTTTATCCATCTTAATGTCCTGGCATCAGTGGCTGATTCTCATGTAGAAGGAAACAGAGGCTTTAAAAGATCTCTCAGGAAGCTGTACCTGAATGATGTTTATGACTATTAGAAGTGTGTCTATTAGGGAAGGATACATGGTTGAAGAGAGATTGGAGTGATGTTTAGTAGGTAGATTTGTTCAATTGGATCCTGGTATCAAAGATGTGGAGATTTGGGTGAGCCAAGAGCGAGAAACCTGAGCTTCTCTTGAGTTTGAAGGTTGGGGGCATCACTATTTCTGTTCGGTTTCAGGTGGAAAGAAGCCCTAGCAAGGAAATGGATTGGGAGAAAAAGAAATCTCAAACTTTTTTTCAGCCGATGGTCACCTTGCCTTGGAATGGATGTAGAGAAAATGAGATATGCTTGGATTGATGTCTATGGGATACCGTTGCATGCTTGGATCATTGAGGTTTTCAGGGCCATTGGAAATGTTGTAGGAAGGTTTAGAAGGTTTGATTTTAGAAATAGAAGATGGGAGCATATTCAGTTTACAAGAATTTTTGTTGAGATCGAGGATGTGTGATTGATTCCTACTCTCTTGGATCTGTTCTATCTTGAGAAGGTTTCCATAATGAGGATCATAATTGCAGGTGAAGACCTGGTGTTTCTATGGAAAGACTAGAAGCGGCAAGAGAGGCACTCAAAGCAGATAGTCCAAAGAATCCTCTTCCAATTCGCATTGTTCTGGAGAGGCTCAGGGAAAGGGATTTTTGAAGGTGAAAGGTTAGGGGCTTGTGGTGTGAATTTGAAAATATCCAAGCCCCTAGGTTGAAGAGAAAAGAAAGTTTTAAATTTCAACCCAAGTGGGGCGGTGGGGCCTACTTAAAAGATAAGTGTTGGGCCAATTGCAGTTGGTCCAAAAAATCTTTTGGCTGGTTTGGCCCAACATCACTCGAACACTTTTTCATTTATAAACAGTGTTCCTTTTTCTTTGAGCAAGGGATTGGAATTTTTAGAGGCTGTTGAAGAAGGTTCCATACGACTCTTGGAGAAGACTACAAATATATTCGGAAGGGGTGAGTAGAAATATCGTGTAACAAAATGTACCTATGCTAATGGTGATTCTTCTGGGTTGTAGTGAGATCCTACCCAAGAAAATCTAAGTGGTCAACCAACTTTGGAGAAAATGAGTGAAGAGCCTAGAACTGATGAATGTTTTGGAGTTGTTTCCCTATCGAGAAATCTAGGTAAGGCTGAAGGAGTCTCGAGTTCATGGTTAGGGGTGAAGAAAGAGCTTATTGATGCAATTTCCTTCAGCCTTAGTACCTTGGAATACAATTGTTCAACAATTGGGGGATAGGCTTCACCAATTCCTTCTTGTTTTCTGAGTTTAATAAGGGGAAGAAGTTTGAGAATAAACAACCAAAGAAATTGGGGGATGCTATTACGTCAATGGTGAATATGGGTCTGTTCCAGGCTTGATTCCTAAAGATGATGGGGGAAGAGTAGAAAAGGGGATCCACACTTCAAGCTCATAAAGGATAGAGGAAAATTTAGAAGAG